TTACATCAACTGAAACAATCTCCAGAAACGATAAAATCCGACGATTTGCTTGTGAAGCTACTTTTTTCACGAACTTTGCTTTGTTCATAGCACGATTCTCATTCTGACCAAATTCATTGAAGTGCCTTCCGCGAGTTTTGACCGACGGACAAACTCTTTCAGCTACGCTGTATGTGGTGAACTATCCACCGCCCTCCCCCTCTTCCCCCAGTTGTAAGAACTCCGGCGAAATTCTAAGAAAAAAACCTACTATTCCTGTGGGGGGGGGGGCTTACAGTAAACAGAAGTTTCACGAAACAAAATGCAAATATAACGCCATATTCGTTATGAGTATGTCAAATGTGACTTCGCTGTCGCCATATGGGTAAGAAAAAAGACCTGGATCCACGAGGCCAAAGACACAAAACCTGCATCATTGTCAATCCAATTGTTGGGAAGATGTGCTATTCTAGACCATTTCACAATTCCAGATGTTTTTGACAAAGTTTTCGCTGAATATGGTCTTAGGCCAACTTGGCTTGAGGAGGGTGAATACTTGAATAGCCTGTTGTGTCTACCCCATTTTCATTCCATAGCGTTCTAGAGTTGAAATCCTGTGTTATGATAAGCATGAGCTTCTTGAAAATATCAATAGAGTCGTAGTCATCCCGCACCCTTCTACGACTATTTTTTTAAAATTGATATTCAAAGAGCAGTAGCAGTTCTCACCGTATTCATCCTCACTGGCTTATAGAAATTTGAGCGCTGCCTCTCCTCATTTTGTGCTGAGCAAAACAATCATCTGTGTAAATAGTGTAAATAGTGCATCGGTTATATCAATGTTGGTTTAGTGGGGTATCTGGATTACGGAACCAAATGCACTACATCATGCATGTAAATATTACTTCTTTTGTGACGGCATTTCAATCAATTCATGAAATCGGGGGAACGATGGCAAGCACGATATAAAGTAATGGAATCGAGGTAATAAGTGTGACCAAAATAGTGGGGTAAAGAACCATGCTCACTACCAGCTGGGAACTCTTATTGGAGTTCTTTATGTTAACATGACGTCAAGCATCATTGGAGAACGTTCGGTGTGGTCATATATTCCATAACCTAATCTGCAAGCAACCTTGTGAGCTGCAGTCAACAATCGCCGTTTGTTACCCTACCATGTGCGGGAGAGTAATCAGAGCTGGTAAGGAAAAGACGTCTGGTCGCTGAACCCAATCACCGTGCAATGGATCCACTTGTCTGTATCTTATTGGCTCTATCCCATAACATATCACTTTCTGGACACCGGCAGAATTACTCCGACCAAGGTGAGGGAGGATTTAAGTCTTTCTGCTAAAACTTTGTGTTCACATGATGTCATTAATCAGCTCAGCACTAAGTAGTTGTGAGCACTTTAATAGGGGATAAAGGACAAAGCAGTCGACACGAAGCACTTTTTCCGAGACGCCACGGCTAGTCGGCTTTATTTTGGGATCGCAGTGGCTTATGAACGCGTTTGTGCCCTATAGGTTATGTGCTGGGCTTACCAGACAGATCTGGTACCCAGTTGCCGAATTCGAAAGGATAACAAGCTTCTCTGGCAAGGAAAAATCGAACCTTTGACCCTACCCACACCCACGACATTAGTGCCTCTTGCCACTGCTCTAGGCAAACCCCATAATATGCATTCTTACAAGCCGCTTCTACTTCTTCATTCAAAAAGAGATAACTTATAACAAGATTTGTGAATGTTACCGGGAGGTTCTAAGCTTCCGGCTTGTTCTTACCATACCTTCTCATTTCTGACAACGAGACAAGCCCTCTAGGCTGGAAATCTAAAAAAAGTTCTCAAAAAAACTTAGCGATTGTTGGCATGATTGTTTATCCTGTAGACTACGTAATGTTAGGAGCCGCAGGACGCGAAAGTTGGTTTTAAGACCTGCTTCTCCTTGGTTATACATTCCTGAGTCCTAGCCCCAGCTAAGGATTACCCATATTGGCTTGGACTAATTCGTTCACTCAAGAAGGGCAGCTAGGTCAGAAACCTTCCGAGAATCTTATGATTCAGCGACAGGTTGCCATGATGGGAGGGTTGTGTTTTTTTTTCTTGGGAAATGCATTCTTCCCTTGGGCTTTGACAGGGACTTTCCCGCTAATTTTGTTACAAACAACCTCTTCAAACAGTA